GCACTGCAGTAACACTTACTCACAGATCTACACACATGCAGAATGAGAGTTTTTGTTTTTGTTACTTTGTTTGTTATGGAACTTTATTTAAATTTAGGAATATTTAAGTTTTCCAAGATTCCAGTCATGGCCTGTTGAATTTTAAGAAAAGGAGTATAAAACAATGTACAAGCAAAGTTAAGCTACAGTACATAAATACACTATAACTTGGCCCTCATACATAAGCATACTTTCAGAGACATTCACATACTTCACGCATAACTGTATGCACTTTCAATTCAATTACATATACTGTACATAAAACTACATATTCACATTACACTACATGCACTCTAATTGCATACAGCCACATACACACTAGTATGTGCATATGGTGGGATATTTTCAGAGCACCGGATAAAAATATTATACCACAATTACATTACAGTTAGCCACGACAGCTGGTCTGGACAAAAAGGCACCACAGCGTCTCTGTCTCTCTATGACTTTGTGCTACAGTTTTATTTACATTCCTCTTTCTCCCATGACACATAACTAAGCTAATCTAAAATGCAGTGAGCCCAGCATTGGCAGGCCAAGTCAAGCAGAGACCAAAGCCATCTGCCTAAACGAGTTATGCCATTCGAAGCAGCACAGACTCCAAGAGGATCCAGTTCTTCCCAGGAGGGTTTTTAATTTGAAAAATGTGATTTTCAACTGAGTGAGATGTGTTTGACAGATGGATGGATGGATGGATTTGTTAGCTATTGTAAGACCCCTGATGTGAACTGTGTTCAGCAAAAACTATTGATTTGTTATTTGATTCCCCGAAAGTAAAAACTGAATCAAAGACATAGTGAACAGAGATTCTGACCCTGGAAGGTCAGTAATTTAATGTTTTTGCTGAGGCCAAGGACACTTCACTTTGTCTGAACATCATAAGCTCCATTTTTTTTTTCATTAAAAAGTGACTGAATGGAGAAATTGCAACAAGAGAAGAAAAGACATTCATCTTTGTTGTCATAGCAAGATAATCTACTACAAACACACACAAGCACTGAAAGACATGCACGTGCACACACATTTATAGGAATTGAAGTGAATACAAGCACACACCAAGCAACAGGGAGGCTACTAACACAACCAAATAGCAATTACTACAGCATCTGCAGCCTAGCAACCAAACCACTGGATGTCATTGTCCCATCAGATTTCTCTGTGTGTGTATGTGCCCTCCTGTGACAAAGATCCTCTTTTGCGAGACCCAGAATTTTTGTGTGACAGGTTAAGAATAGTGGGAAGGAGGGAGAGAGAGTATGGCTTAGGAAGAGAGAGTGAGTGAAAGGACTGCCGTGGTCTGATGGCTGATCTTATCAATTTATTTAGAACAGTCACTCCCATCATTTAAAACTGAGCTACCATCACTTTTTTCCTACAAAAGTGATTAAGATTCTCCTTTTCCTTATCTCCTGATCTAAAGCTGTGGGTGAGGGAGGTGTGTGTAGGCAAAAAAATCTTAAAGATAAATAAACAAGCTTCTCCTCAGATTACACTCCATCCACCATATTTAGTTTCACTCAGACTTATGACACTAAAAATGCACTAAAGGACATACAGTAGTAAAATGGTACAGTAAATGGCCTCGTATAGTGCTTGTAAGCATCGGAGTACACTCAAAGCACTTTCACACTATTTGGCCATTCACCCATTCGCACTCCCAAATTCACGCACCGTTAACATCACAGGGAGCAACTGGGGTTTCAGTGTCTTGCTCAAGAACACCTGACTGGAGAAGCTGGGAATCAAACCGCCAACCTTGTGGTTAGGAGACGACCTGCTCTACCTCCTCAGCCACAGCCAGCCCGAAACAACAACATATTCTGTAGCTTTTGATACTTCAATCAGAGAAACTGATTGCAAAAAGTTTTGCAACAGAGCCATGTTCCAGGACCTCTGTGAATTTCAAATTAATACTTTTTGATCTCTGTCTGAGAGATACTACAGAAAAGAATGGGACAGTGACTCAAACAGAAAAATATGCATGCATGTGTTTTCTCAACAGAAAATGTGGGGTTTTTTGCTTTGTCTCATTATGATTTCTGAGTCTACAGTAAGTCGAGTCTGTGACCTATTACCATTTAAAAGTAACCTCACTAACCACTTGTGCAGGTGTGTGTTACAGACTAACAAAGAACATCTTCAAAATGTGTTTAGCAATTCAAACCAGATGATGAAAGAGCAGTAATTCAAATGACATTTATTCATGAGCGGTGTCCTGTCTGCCACTGACTCAGATGATATCTCACAAAAAACAGGCAAAACATGCACATCATTTTAATTTGAAATATTGTTTCATGTCCTTTCTTCATGCGGTCTTTGTTCTCATTTTTCCCCTGCAGGTGCATTATCTCTTCTTTCAGTTTCAACCTCTATTTTTATTTTCATTAGATGTGAAGAAAGCTTTTGATCCTTTATTGGTATTGAAGCAAGTGAGCGGCAGGTTTTTGTGTATGTGTAAAAAAAAAAATGTAAGGTGAGATTAATAAAATCTGATGAAAGTATGAGTCTCCTCTCCTCTCCATTCTTCATGTGTTCCCCTCACACCTTTCAGAAATGTCCTCTTTCCCCCTTTTTTGTACCAATCCTTTCTTCCTCTTCCATCCACATACACCTGTTGTTTCCCTTCATGTCCTTATTTCCCTCCTCCTTATTCTTGTCTTTGCTGTTCTAACATTGAAAACTTACATTCCTGTTAATTCATTTTATTTGTTCTTAGCCACTGTGGAAATGTTTATTTTATGGGATTTTGTTATTTAGTTTATTCTGGTTCAAACCAGACACTAACACCAGTTCATAGTGGTAGCTTAATGCTAGCTGTGAGTTTTTAACACTGGGCAGAGGTGCAGTAACTTAAATCAGCATCAGTCCATGTTTAGTTTTGTCCTTGCTGCCTCTGTTATGCTTGGCTATCAAACCATCAAACCATGATGGGCAGCTGACATTTAAGTGTCAATATCAGTCTCCTTGTACACATAGACTCGGGTTCTGGGGTCATTTAGTATTGATTGTTCAGATCACGCTCTCCCTTCTAACAAACTCATATGTCAGTCCCCTTGGAGGAGCCCTGCATTATGAACTGCTCTTTCAGGTATCTTAGCAGTGGTTTGATTGACTGGCAAAATGAACTAAATGAAAGGAGTAAACACTCCAGAGTTTAAATAAACCACTCCAAACATTCCTGGCATGAGCACACACTTAGGCTCCTCCTCTTGATGCTTGATTTCCTTCACCACTCTGCACTTTTTGTCTTTCGGTTTCACACCAATTCTTAGCTGTCGTCTTCAAACCCCCTCCAACTTTTTAATACAGTGGTTTCATTTACTATGGCTAATTTTACAGATAACACATGCAGTGTGTGTGTGTTTTGTTTGTCCTTGCAGTGAATGTGTGTGAGTGTGTCTCTGTGTGTTCATGGCTTTGACTGAAGCTCTCAGATGAGGAGCCAATTGATTGAGATGGCCCCAATTAGTCTCTGTGATTAATTGAATGTGATTGGATGTCATCCCTGGCACCTCATCCTTGACGTTATTGACAGGCTCATTAGTTGCCATGGAGACCGTTTAAACACAGCTGATTGTGTGTGACAGTGAAATGACCCCAGAGCAGCCAAATCAAACCTACCTCTTGCTTGCGGGCATGTGTGTGGGCGCATACATCTGTTTTGTTTTGTACAAAAAAAAGATGTTGCAAAAATGTCTTTATCACATTTACAAATGACAAAATTAACTGAGTGTTTCTGCAGAATGTGAAAATGATTAAGAATTCATCTTCACTATGCCATCATAAATACAAGAACTGGATTACTCACATTACTGCTAAGTTTAACACCATTAAATAAATAAATAAATATTGATTAAAACTTCAACATTCTGCTGTTACAGTAGCTCAACAAGTACGTTTTATTAAAATGGGGGTTTCTGCTGGTGTACATTGCTTGACTATACATGTAAATTGTCTGAAAGTGGCTGTGTATCGACTCTATCAGAACTACTGATTGGCTGATATTTAGTATTTAACAATGAAAGTGCAATGCCATATATTACCAAAGCTATATATTGAATTGATCCTAACTAAAGAAGCACCATGTGTGAAATGAAAGGGTTGCAATTTAGATCGTGTTCTTTCTACAGTACATGTAGTAGAGATAATAAGGATAAAAAGCTGTGGAGAGAAAGGGGGAGTTTTAGACTAGAGTATGGTTGACTAGCAGGGAAGAAAAGATTAATTTTGGAGGAGGCCAGGCCACTTTTTTCTAACCATCCTTTTTTATTCTTCTTTTGTCTTCCTCCCTTCCGTTCCAATATGTTTCTTTTCTCTCAGCTTCTTTACTTTTTCCCCCTCTGCCACTTAAAGTTCTTCAGATTTACTCTCTGCCTCTTTCTTTCTGATAGAGGAAATGGTTAAATATATATTGTCCTGGCTTGTACAGATTCCAAAGCAAGTGTTGAGTTAACTGGTTTATACACATCTAACATTCTGACAGATAAAAGAAAAAAGTTAATTCTGACTTCTTGATAATGTTCTTTCAGTTCTGACCTATAACACAAGAAAATACTTTCTGCAGTCATTAAATAAAGACATGAGGTATCATCCACAGGTTCATCTGAACTTGCAGTTTATTGATAATATAAATGATACTGTGTAAATTAAAATGAGTTCAGTCCAGTCTAACCAATTTAAATCACTTCCTTTCTACATAATCTATATAAAAGAAACACACACACACACACAATCACAGCTAAGCAAATTAAGAGACAGCACAGACACAGACAACTGAGTCACATTGACTTTTTCAAGGATGTATTGGATCAGAAATGAATTATGCTGTAATTAATCAAATCTGTATTATTCTATGTTGATGTCACTTTCTCTCTCTCTCTGGTATGTCTCTGTTTTTCATTAGGTTTCTTTCTCAAACTCAGCATAGTTTGTTTTTGTTTCTTGTATTTTCCTCTCTCTAGTTCCCCCTTTTGAGCTCACGGTCAACTGCCGATCCAACACCTACCCTAAAGGCTTCTACTGCAACTGGCACCAGCAGCAGCCCACATACATCCCCACTACTTTTGAAGTGGATGTACAGTAAGTGCAGTCGTTTGGCTTTCACGTTAGTCTTCTCTACAACAACACATAACCTACTTTAAAGTGACTTGAATTAAAGGATTTTTCAATGTATTACAACTTGTTTTTGTAGTTTTGTCATTTGTAACAGTTATGGTCACATTATAGTTAAAGTAATTGTTGAGATCTGAAAACACAGTGGCTGAAAGAAAAGAAAAATGAGGCAAAGTAAAGGAAAACTGAGGATGGAAAAAATATTGTTTACTAATAAGATTGTTGAGCTGAATGCATCCAACATCACATGGCCCTGGATCCCTTCTCTTCCTCTTTCTCGCCAAAAAAATTCAAAGCAAATAAATTCACTTTTTTGAATTTGAACTTAACTAAGCCAGCTGCAAAATATCCTTGCATCTTTGGAAAATGGCATATAGACCTGGTAGTTATTTGAAAAATGCATTCGGTTTGCTGCTATGCACAACATTTCCCATTGAACACAATGGCATTTTTGTCATCCTTTACTCAATACACTGACAAATGCACCCACAGAAAAAAGTAAGACAGCATATCTCACAATGTTTTTTCACCCATTTTTTTAATATGAACATGTTTAATACAATCTCCTGGATTATTTTAACAGCACACAGAATAGAGTTCTGTGACAAACTCTAAACTGAAAAACAAAACACTGTGAAAATGATTATTTTTAGATTATAAAGGTACTTACTGGAAAAATATCCTTTTGGTTTTAGTCTCCAGTGAAACACTTCTATATAATTCTCCCAGTGCAGAGCAACACTCAACAGGTGGAGCATCAAGTGATCCTACTTTATTATTTCACTTACCACCAGTTCCATGCTCTTTTCTATATTCTCTCTTTAATTCTAAACATCCATGACATCTAAAAAGAGGACTGTAACTTTCTTTGGCAGTTCTGTTACTAGTTGCTCGCGTCAGGATTTCCCCTACAGTAAACATAGCTCCACTATGATTCACTGCTGACTCACTAATGTCGGCAGAATTTAGATTTACAGTATGGGTTTGAACTCACGCAAGATTTCAAAGTGCTTTTAGCCTACAAGCAAATAAAAATAAAGATATTAATGCACATTTACACCAGCAAACTTTTTAAAAAGTACCAAAATAAAGTAAGAGTGCAAAACCGCATCTGGCCATCTCCCAAACCTACTTTGTTCTAATAAAAGGAGGTATAGTCAGCCGTTTTTAGTCTCTGAGTTAAAATTATTCCCTAGCTTTGATGTATAACTATTGTTTAAAAAAAGGGGAACAGCCAGTTTCAGGCTCTCTATACTCCAATATTAGGATTTATGAAGCTTCTTTTAAGCAGAAACTACACCATCTTACCCATTCTCTGTCTATATTCTACTCTGTCTTCTCCTTATTTTTCTTTTCAGACATAACCAGCGTTCACTGGAGGTGCAGAAAGATTCGGTCCACAAGAATCGCTGTCACGTACGGTTTCCTGAGGTCTTCTCCAGCTTCCCCTACAAAGTTAATGTGACAGCAGTCAATCCCTTGGGGAAATACTCCACCACCATTTCATTTGAAGAGTCCACTATAGGTGAGACAGAGTAGATGAGTATTACATTGTGTCATTTTCAGTTTTATTATTTTTTCCGCACCTTCATTTTGCATCTGCAGGCTGGTGTTAGGCGGATGGTGTCAGATTATATCAGTTGATATCACTATTGGGGCTGCATGTACAGTACAGAGTAAAAGGACTTCTGTTTTCTGATGAGGTTTTGCTCAAATTAAATGGTGCAATTAAGGTTTTAGTTTAAAGGATTCAAAAGTGAGATTTTGAAAGTTTTAGAAATGTTTCTAACTCATTTATGCTGCCAAATATTAACACTTTTCATTACAGTTTACAAGCAGTGCTTTTGTACTGAGACTAATCTAAGATCCTTTTAGCATACAGACTGACAAATATTTGGCAAAGAAAAAAGAAAAAGGGAATAAAATGTTGAGTGTCAAGACATTTCTTTCAGGATGCCAACCAATGAGCAATGTTAATGTATTTGTTTGACCACAGATGACTGATTTCATTAGTTTCTGGTTCCATTCTGAGATTTGTTGCACACACAGCAATGCTCAGTGCCAGAAAGACAAAGAAAATTGAAATTTCAATGGCCTAATAAATGTCACCGAGCTGAAAGAGAGTGCACAGCTTTTCTCTTTCACCAACAGTATAGTCCATTAGCAAGAAACCCACTGACTGTGTACCCATGTCATTACTAAAGGCACTAGATAATAAATGCACTGCTTCTGAACATTTTCTGCAGCAAACAGTGTTTAATTGAGGCTTGGATAGGATGTGACAGTCATAAATCAATGCTCTGGTTTCTCGCTGTCATGCCAGATTACCCAAACACCAGCTGCCACACAAACATATTTTACTCAGATTTAAATATGAAAATTAACATTAAAAGGTCTTGTCATCACAACCTTCATGGTCATGTGGTAGGTTTGAAAAAATCCAATTTAGATTGTTAAGGTTTTGCTCACCTAGTCTGCAAAAGGCTATACAATAACAGCAAGACTCCTAGAATTTATAAGTGACTCCGACTGGAAAGCAGTGAAGAGGAGACATTCATTTTAAAGAAGGAATGAGAAGCACTTTGATAGATAAGGGAAATGCTGCCAACAGTCCTCAAGCTCTGTTGTATTGCTTAGATGTGATATGGCTGTGCAATACGCCCAAACACACACAGGCACCAATGGAACTGTGAGTGATTGTGTGGGGTGTGTCAGTTGAGAGGTTGAAGTATTGAAAAAGAAAGAAAGAAAGAGAGAGAGAAAGTGTGTGTGTGTGTGTGTGTGTGTGTGTGTGTGTGTGTGTGTGTGTGTGTGTGTAGATAAGTAACCAAATGAGGCAGTGACATGCTCTGCCAAGCCCTGGACACAGCACTCATGAAAATGCTAATGCTAGCCGGATTAACGCCTTGGCTGAGGAAATATTCCTTAACTATGGATGATAGTTGCTTCTTCTCCTTTTCTCTCCCTCCCTGCATGCCCTTGGTGTGACTTTGCACTTTGTTTTTTTTGTCTTCCCTCCTATTTGTCTTCTTCTTCTCTTCTCCTCTGTTTGCTATCATCAGTCAGTTTGTTTGTGTTTCTGATAAAATACCATTTCTGTGACTAATGTTTTCCATCTATAGTAATATTTTGAGATTGATTTCTCAAAGTTTACTTTTAAGCTTAAAAATAACTTTTGACTGTATCTTAAGTTAAATGGCAGCTAGTAAACAAAATGGAGTACGACCGTGACTTTCCGGAGAGTTATATGAGTGGACTTCTCGTACTCTAGTTGGCCTTAACAGGCTAAAACTTGTTTCTTTTGCCTCCGGTATTCTCTATGATCACCTGCTTTTTGTTTTAGTAGAACTGATAACACAGTGCAGCTGTTGTCATTGATCACAAAGAGAGAAAAGGTCTGTCTTTTATTGTAGAAAATGCTAGTTCAAATGTTTTCAGATTTAGCCGAATTAGTGTGGACGTGGTCTTGCCCTCTTCCTTTCCACGTCCCTTTCTTTACTTTTCCTTTTCATATTGTTTGCCTTCTCCCACCCCTCCTTTCTGTCCTCGCCTTATCTCCTCGGCTTTCTTGCATTGTTAAAAGTCTCTCTGATGTCGTTCTAAGTTGTAAGTCGCATTCATATTCAGTGACAACGAGGCAGATCGTAAATAAATAAAACAATTTCATGCTCCCTGGTGCATTTCTGAATTCTGAGTGGGAGTAAGACGATTCTCAGCTGTCCTTGTTCATTCGACCAAACCTGGAATGAAATTAAATGAGATGAGGTTGTGCGTGCGTGTGCGTGTGTGTGTGTGTGTGTCCCTCAGTGTGCATTTGATGGGTACACTTACAAAGAGAACCCTCAAGGAAGATCCAAAATTGTGTAGTCATAACATAAAACTTTCTTAGCTTTTCCGATTGCAAAGACTTCGACAGTTTTTTCTTTTGTCAACTCTGATATTAACCCACCTGAGCACCTGCTGTCAGTAGTACTGTGTTGGTCATTCACTGTGATCAAAGTGAATAAAATCAGTATACTATAACTTAATTCCAAAGGGTGAATGCAGCCAGTCCTTGAAATCAGTTATCTACTGTATGTGCTCCTTTCAGTTAATACTTAAACAGCTACTCAAGCTTAATTTCTGGTTGGTGTGTCATACTTTAGTGGCAGATAAAAGTGATACAGTTCCCCAAAGTAACCAGTAAAAGAATAATTAATGACAACTCAGAATACTTTATATAATTGAATAATAACAGTGGCTGTACTCATTTTGAATTGTTCTGAGACTGCTGAACAAGCAGCTCAGACTAAAGTGACAAGCTGAAGAAAAAAAAATGTTTGCTCTGATATTATGCACAAAACCTAACAGTCTTCTCTAAGATAACAGCTTTTAAGCCTGATTGGGGAAAAAAACTGAAAAAAGATTTCATTTGGCTAGGGTGGCTAGAGAAGTTGGTATATTGATATTAGCGAGATGTGACAAGTGAAATGAAAATAGCAAACATGAACCTTGTGAGTTAAATACCCACTCAAACTTGCTTCCCACTCTGCTTCCCTGGTGAGTCACATTTCCTTTTTCTAGAATTTCTGGAAATGTGGTTTGAAATTTGTACAAAATTTAGATAAAAAGCTGGCTGATGTGTGCTGACACTTGAAATTATATAGATACATTTTTGATAAATCTGGCCACGGGTATTGTGTATGGCATGGCAGACCAGGCAGCGTTTTTTTGTTCTATTTTCCTTTCTGAGGTAACACTGCGGATCAAAACAGTGCATTCAGTGCATTTTTCCCATTTGTTCAAGTGCAACATTAGATGCTGCCATCCAGCATCTGAATAGATGTCCACATTTTATTTTTAAAGGGAAGATTGTGTAGTGTGAGGACAAGGAAAAGAGAACATGAGAATATATAGCTTTTATCTTTATCATGCAGCCACAACTGGAATGCATTAAGTGAAGAACTAGGAACTAAATGACACACAACAATGGTTCTGCAGATCTTTTGCAGATCACTTACATTTTATTGGTTGATTGCTTCATAGTCATAGCCACCATTTCAGTGAGAAAGATTAGTCAGTTTGCTTCCTACTCTCTTGTTCCATTTTCACCAGGTAGTGCATATAATGGGCTCGCAATAAACGGCTAGAAAGATTAGACTTTTATGTTACAGCATACCTATTCTCTTGGTTCTGCAAAGAGAAAGAACGGGCTGAAGTGAGTCTATCAGTGTGATGCAGAAATGAAGAAAGAATATCAGTAATATGCAGGCAAAGTTGAATGAATAGACTCAAGGGAGGCATGACAGACACTGTCAGACCAAACATGGACAGGCACAACAAGGGAATCTCATAAAATTAGACCCTTATCCCTTACCCTTGTCTGCTCTAATTCTGGCCATATACTCTATGTGACATGGTGTTTTTCCTGGCATTAATTTGTAATTTGTATTGTATTTCTTCTATCATTTGTTCATCAATAGGTGGCAGCTGTGAATTTGCGGAACAAAATTTTGTCTTGACAAAGGTAGTTGTTGAAGTCTTTGAGCTCAGAATCTGTTTCTTATTTTCCTAAAATCTGCAGTGGTTAGTGAAGTCCCAGACTCTTGTTGTCTCAGTGGATCAAATGAATCAGTGGATTTAAGAGTAAATCCTTTTTCTTCTTTCAGCTTTAGCATTAATAGTGCGTGGTTAGGGTCCAGGTGCCCTCCCCAGAGGTCATCAAAAGAAGGATGTGTTCATTACTCATACAACACAAAGCTAATGCTTTATGTTTCAAGTCAGCTGAATACTTTAAAAGCCTTCGGGACAACCCGCCCATACAGATTTTTTTTTCAGTTTTGTTCTGTGCTCGCACATGTTCTCTTACTGTCGAACAAAGCTGTTGTGGACAAAGAGGAGCGAGAGGAGAATTTCTGTTCTCTGCTCTCCGCTGACTTCACGGTGCCTGCCTGGACTTTTCATTTTCTCTTTTGTCTTCCCTTTCCCATTTCATCTTTTTACACATTTACTTGAAGAAGGTCACAATGAGATTAACATCTCTTTCTCAAGAGAGAAAGCTGTCACCCTGTTTTTGTCTGCCTTTTATCATCTTTCAAATTTTTAATCATGCATTTTATGAAAGTCAAGGTACTAGCACAAGAGACAACTGTTTGTATCTGTCTGCGTTTGCCTGTGTGCTCATGATGGCATTATATGTGAATGCTGTCATGCTTTTTACCCAAACTGCTTTCATCCTCTTGTAGTATCTGTGTGCATGTTATCTGACATGGGTTGTGACTGTAGCTATCCATTTCCCATTGTATTCCATGTGTGGATCTGGTTAAGTAAGGCTTTCATATAGCCTAAGTGGCAGACCTATGCGTTCCCCAGTGGGAGTGAGCTAACAAAGACTGGGTCATTCAGTATCATCTGAAAAGCATTGAACTGAGTTCTCTCAATCATTCAGTTCGTATGTCTTTCTCAGCAGACGTGCATTCAGAAATTCATTTATATGTGCCTTTTCACCAGCAGCGAATGGTATCTCATGTTTCTTCATTGTTCCCTGAAACATTCCTA